ACAGTCTTCAAAGGCAGCCCCGGGGGGAGAGGACTGCAGTAGCCCAGCCAGAGTGCCAGGCTTGCCTCCTGGGCCCCGAGTCGGCCACCATTTCTCCCAGAGAGCCTGCCAGTGTGTCCTGCCTGCCCTCTTTGTATGCAAAATGGGCACCTCAAATGCCCAGTTGAGGAGAAAGAGCAAAGATCTCCCCCCGAGAGTGGAGTGAACCTTTGAGGAGCTGAGCCGCTTCTCTCAGTACCTTCCCCTCCCAACGCCAGGGATCCAGTTCCCTTTCCAGTGCCAGGGATCCACGGTGGGATCCTCCATGGAGCTGGCCAGCCTTGATGATCCCTTGGGAGCAAATCTGAGAGTGAAGCAAATAGACTCGGAGGAGTTCCAGGGTGCCTTTTGGGTTCTCTTGGCCCTTCTGCCTGCTTAAAAGGTAAAGGGACCCCTGACCATTAGGTCCAGTCGTGGCTGACTCTGGGGTTGTGGCGCTCATCTCACTTTCCTGGCCGAGGGAGCCAGCGTGCAGCTTCTGGGTCATGTGGCCAGCAGGACTAAGCCACTTCTGGCGAACCAGAGCAGCGCACGGAAACACTGTTTACCTTCCTGCCGGAGTGGTACCTATTTATCTACTTGCACTTCGACGTGCTTTTGAACTGCTAGGTTGGCAGGAGCAGCGACTGAGCAACGGGAGCTCACCCCGTTGCAGGGATTCGAACCGCTGATCTTCTGATTCGCAAGCCCTAGGCTTTGTGGTTTAACCCACAGCGCCACCCGCATCCCTTCTTCCTGCTTCCCTCTCCCTTTATTCCTAATAAAGCTCCTTAATTTGACTGCCAAAGTGTGTGTGTCTGAAAATTGGGATTTCTGAATCCCACTGGGCCTTCAGGCTACTGGGAGCTGAAGACGGACATTGCAAGCAACCAGCGCACTCCTCTGCCAGAGGCAGGCTGCCTTTACGCTCAAGTAAAACACCATTGTGCAGCAGAGTGCTGGGGCCCTGAATCGGAGCCTTTCCAGAGCAGCTGCTTGGGGGCATCTCAGGCTCCCTCCCCTGTGGGGCTGAAGCAGAAACCGGGCGGAGAGGAAGACCTCCAGGCGACATTGCGGGGCTGTTGCGTTGCAGCTAAGCAGTGAAGGGAGAGGCGTTCTTCCTTAGTCACACAAGCCAGGATGAGAGAAACTCTGGGCATGTGCCGAGTTCATCGTAGGAACAGCACTTGTGTGTCTGCATAGGCACCATTTTGCGCACGCTTCATGATGACCCTCCTCTCTCATCCCCAAATTTCGGGACTGGCCTGGGCTCCTCCAGATTTTCCTTTTGTGCCGTGCTTTGGAGTCACGGGTCTGGACAGTGGTTTATACAGATTTTTTGGTCCCACCTCTTTCTCCGGGGAAAACCCGTTGTTTACCGCTGAATCGGAACAAATGACGATCTGCGGCAAACCCCATTGCTGTTTGATTCGATTCAGCAAGCAGGTTCTCGGGGCGAACCATTTCTCCCCACTATGGGAGACAGCCGCAGAATTTGGAACAGATCTGTGTGGCAGTGGGTACCGCGGCTTGTATTCCCAAGGAGCCTGTTTTCTGCCCTTAGGAAGGCTGTGGACGTGCGCCTGAAGCCCCCTGCGCAATCTGCACCCGTGCAACCTCTGTGTGGGCTGGGGAGGCAGCGCCAAGGGGGCTCCCTGCTCAGTCCACCTCGCCGCCCCCCTCCAGGAAGAGCAGGTGCCAAGAAAAAGAATGTCAACATATGCAAATGAGCTCGGCGCGCATAATTTCCTCGTTAAAAGTGGCAGAGTGCAGCTTTCTCCTGGTGTACCACCGTAATAACCTCGGCGTCAGGTTTTAATTATTTTCATTTATTTGTTTTACTCCCAGGACGCTGGTCTGTGGAGGCGGGCGATGGCTTGGTCAGGGCGGACGGGGAAAAGGTCAGGCAGACGTCTGCAAAGTAACCGTCCGAGGAGTTAATTAACAAAGGCCGGAAAACCAGAAGGGCATCCCGCTCTGGCCGGTGGAGTCCAAGGGGGGGCTGCCCCCTCCTGCCCCCTAGAAAGAGGACCAGCCTGAATGCCCCCCCACTCCATCCCCACCGGCCACAAATTAGCCTGCTTTCCTCTCTCCTGGCCAGAATGAAGAACACAGGAAGATACCTTGGGATCCTTTAGCTCAGCATTGTCTACACTGACTGGCAGCCAGTCCTTCTCCACACAGTGCAGGGTTGAACCGTGGAACTCCCTGCCACTGGAGGGAGTTTACAAGAAGACTGGATAAATTTATGGGGGAGGAGAGGCCTATCGAGGGCGATGAGCCAGGATGGCTTTGTTCTGCCTCCACGGCTGGAAGCAGCAAGAGAGTGTTGCTCTTTTGCCCGGATCCTGCTTGTGGGTTTTGTGTAATGGGCAGCTGGTTGGCCACTGTAAGAACAGGAGGCTGGACTAGATGGGCCGCTGCCCTGATCTGGCAGGATCTTCTCATGTCTGTGGCAGAATCGGCTACAACGGTGCTCTGTGCACGGCCAAAATTTAGTGCCCCTCCCAGCCCTCAAGCTGCCTTTCCAACGGTGCCCAGCTTTGGGAAGGAGGTGCTGGGGCCCCGGCAGAGTCCTGGATCCCCGTGCCTCCTTCTTAAAGCTGGGAAAGCGCTAACTGGGCTTTGGGGCATAGATGTCAACTTTTCCCTTTTCTTACGAGGAATCCTATTCGGAATAAGGGAATTTCCCTTTAAAAAAGGGAAACGTTGACAGCTATGCTTTGGGGAGGAGGTGGGAGGACTCTAGGACCCTCTTAGAGCCTCACTCCTTCTTCCCAAAGCCCAGCGCCTCTCTTCCTGGGTGCCCCCTCAGCTCAGCGCCCAGTGCCCCACTCACACAGCCCTGAATCTGCCCTGCTGCCACCAGAAAGGGAAGACCGGCCTGCCTTGGAGTGGATGTCCTTGTTGCCCAGCCCTTTGCTCGGGACTCCAAGGGCTGATCTCCCTCCTCCGCCTTTTCCCTCCCCTCCTGTTTCCTCTTGTGATGTGTCTTTTTATTTCGCAAGCCTCCCTGCCCCACTTTCCCTGCCAGATTGCCTTATGCCCCATGTGCCCCCTTGACAGCTTCAATCTGCAGAACTGGCCCTGTCGCAGGTGCCACACAATCCCTGCAAGAACTCAATATTTCAGCGTGGAAGCATCTGCACCCCGGAACCCCCTGCCTTTGGCATTAGGCACGGTGGCCTTTTCGGCACCAGCTGAGAGCATTTTTGCTTAGGCAAGGCTATACCCGCTTGTGGGTGCGAGTTTTGATCTGCCGCTCTTTGAACTTTTTGAGCCTTCCTAAAATTGTTATTAATTCTTATTGATCATTTTGTGAAATGAAATAAAGTTGGGGGATCCATTTTGCAAGGCGATAACTGTTCCAAAATTAAAGCTAGAGCGTTAAAAAAGAAAAAGAAATCAAGAATGAAATTGGAAAGAAGGGTGTGGGATGCCCACGCCCTCTCCCAGTAGGTGGCGCTGTTGGCACACTCAATGGGGCAGCCAGAGCAGAGAGAGGAGAGGGACCAAGGGAGGCTTCTTGCAATCATAAAATTCCTATGCACAGAGGGAAGATGCGTCGCCACCCTCCTCATGTGACAACCCTCTGCCCCAGGACTGGGAGGAGAGGAGCCACAGGGCGCGGTGGACACCTGCTCAGCATGCAGAAGGTCCCAGGCTCCACCGCTTGGCATCTCAATCTAGGGCTGGCCATGCCGCCTGCCTGACAATATTGAGCTGCCTGGCTCAAGTGCCCGACTCTGCCAAGGCAGCTCCCTCTGCCCTTGCTTCAGAACAATGAGGTCTTGAGAGACCTCCATTGGCTCCCATTATGTTTCTGAGCACAATTCAAAGTGTTGGTGCTGACCTTGAAAGCCCTAAACGGCCTCAAAGGCCCAGTAGACCTGAAGGAGCGTCTCCATCTCCATCACTCAGCCAGACACCGAGGTCCAGCTCCAAGGGCCTTCTGGCGGTTCCCTCCCTGCAAGAAGTGAGGTTACAGGGAACCAGGCAGAGGGCCTTCTCGGTGGTGGCACCCGCCCTGTGGAACACCCTCCCACCAGATGCCAAGGGGATAAAGAACTATCTGACATTTCGAAGACATCTTAAGGTGGCCCTGTTTAGGGAGTTTTTAATGTCTGATGCTGTATTGTGTTTTTAATATTCAATTGGGAGCCGCCCAGAGTGGCTGGGGAAACCCAGCCAGATGGGCGGGGTATAAATTATAAAAATAATAGACATGACAGAATGTCTGCTTTGTGTAATAAAGGTCCCATTGCAAGCAGGGAGAGGTGCTGCCAGTCCATGTAGCCCAGTGGTGTCCAAACTTTTTTCAAAGAGGGCCAGATTTGATGAAGTGAAGGGCCGTGAGGGCCGACCAAAGTTGTTAACCTTGTTGAACTTTTTTAAGGATTTTACCCCAAAGTTGTTGATCTTTTTTGGGATTGAAGTTGCTTTTAGGTTGAGGTTCTTGAGGTTTTTTAAGGATTTTACCCACAGGAACCAGATTAAACCAACTGCCCCCCAAAATGGGCTTTGGACATGGTGTAAACAGTGTCAAGCCAGAGGGATCTCACTGTCCTGCCTGGACCCTGCACAGCTTCCAGAGTTCCACCCTGAGGCACATAAAGGGGGTGGGAGACGATGCTTCTTTAAATCCTCTGTTCTTACAAGGCCCTCTATTGGTAATTTTTTGGCAGAGGGTAATAGAAACGATCAACACGACTGTATGGAAGAATCTAAAGTTTGCAGAGGAAAAATATCCTTTTGAATTATATACCCAAGAAATGCTAACAAAGGGACAGTGCAAATGGACTCTCTTAGTCTAGCAAAAAGACAGGTATTGATGAATTGGAAAAATAAAAAAGAGTGCTTGAAAGGCGAAGATCATCTCTCTTCTAGCAAGTCAGGCCACGGGTCTCCCTAGCTCAGGACTGTCCGCACTGGCTGGCAGCCGCTCTCCCGGGTTTCAGGCAGGCGCGAGTCCCAGCCCTGCCTGGAGACGCTGCCAGTGGGGATTGAGCCTGCAGCCTTCTGCATGCCAGGCACATGCTCTCCCCACTGAGCTCCAGCCGTCTCCATGTCACAGTCAGGCTGGAGGTGAAGAGACTGAGAGGGAAAGAGGGCGAGCGTTGCTTTGGGAAGCCAGCTGAAAGCACAACACTGGCAGCCAAGACCCCCCAAAAAGGCAATTTTGCAGCCCGAGAGAAGAAAAATTCAGGGTGCAAAGCAAAGCTCCTTCGCAGGACAAAAATAACAGTGCAGGCCACCCCCAGCGCCACCACACACAGAACGCAAGGAAGGGGTTGGGCTAGATGGCCCTTAGGAGTCCCTTCCGACGGCCCAATTCTCTGGTTCTACCTTTGAGGCCTTGCCCCATCCCCAGGGCGAGGCCATCCTTCGTCCACTGCACGATCCCGGAATAGTTCAGCACCACGCAAGAGAGCACAATCCTCTGCCCAGCCACCACCGTCTGGTCCTCAGGCTCTTCGACAAAGCGGGTCTGCAGAACTGGAGAGAGAAAGAGGTGGGAGAGTTTGAGAACAGACCCCAAATTATACCGTAGGAAGTCTTATCATTGCTGTTATTGTTCTATCAATATGCGTCTGACTGCTTTAATTAAAGCATAATTATTATTAATCCAGTGGTGGCGTAATGGTTAGAGAGTTGGACTAGGACCTGGGGGAGAGCAGGGTTCAAATCCCTCCTTGGGCAGCGAAGTTCACTGGGTGTGACCCTGGACCAGTCACTGCCTCTCAGCCCAGCCCTACCTCACAGGGTTGTTGTAGTAGGGATTAAAAGAGATGGGGAAGAACCACGTCTGCCACCTGGAGCTCCTGGGAGTAGAAGAGATGGGGCAGGAGGGCAACCAATAAATAAACGTAAGAAATAAGTTGACAGCAGCTTTTCTGCCTTTGCTGGAGGAGCAGTAGGGGTACTTGAGCAACATCAAAGTGCACGGAAGTGCCTCGTGCGTGTTTTCCCCTCTAACCGCCACCAGGCAGCGCTATCTCTTAAGTGTGCTGTTAACAAAGTGGTGTAAGGGCATTGCGGCATTGCAAACAGGGAAGCACCAGGCAGCCCAACACTTTGGTTTTTTACTCCTTCACACTTTGCTGTTCTGCTTCCACCACCAGAAGACGCAGGCGCTAATGGGGACCCGACACCAGCAGAAGTCGATGCAGGCACAGACGCTGCCACCCTCACCTCCCTGGGCCTGACAGCACCCGCGTCGCCCGCTCTCCGTCGGCTTGTGGGTGCAAAGTGCAGCTCGCTCCCCCGTCTCCCTCTCTCTCTGCCCGGGAGGAGAGAGAGAGATCAGGTCGATAGCGGTAGATTTTTCCCTTTCTTTTTATCTAGAGCAGCCGCGGCCGTCACATGGCACCCAAATGAACCGCCAGCCCTGGGGTTACAGGGAGATTGATCGGCAGCGGGGAGAAGGCCCCTCCCCAACGCCAGCCTCTCTGTGCGGGCTCCGGGGGGAGAGAACCGGCTGCATTGCCCACCGACTTCAAATGAAGTCACAAAAAGGAAAAAGAAACGGGAGCAGGCAGATTCTTGGGGAGAGGAGAGGAGAGGAGCAGTTTTTCTCCCCAGCCCAGGCTGGCAGCCTGCGCTCGGAGGTTTGGAGAGTTGTTTTGGAATCGACGCAATAAATTCAGCCCCAAAGCCACCATCCCTCCCAATGAAACTAGCGACCCACACTTGTTTGTTTTTAGTCCCTCTTTCCCCACCCTGGTCTGGCCCAGCTGCTGAGGCTCTCCTCTGCAGATCACCTGCTTGGCATGCAGAAGGTCCCCAGATCAACCAGCCAAAAGCATCTCTAGGTCAGGCTGGGAATAGCACCCCCCCCCCCCGTGCTTGAAATCCTGGAGAGCCATTGCTGCCAGTCAGTGCAAGGAAGACTGATCTCATGGGAGCAATTCAGTAGATGGCAGATTCTCATCCTGCTGTTTGGGAAGGTCTGTTGCTTAGTGGGAAGAAGAAGAGGAGGAGGAGGAGGAGGAGGAGGAGGAGGAGGTGGTATACCCTGCCCATCTGGGCAGCTCAATCCCCAGGCAGAATCTCAAGGCAGGGCTGGGGAAAAGATCTTGTCTGCAATCACTGCCAGCATCTTGACCATGTTCCTCTTTAATTCCGCATAGCAACTGAGTGGGGGACTTGAACCCTGGTCTCTCCCAGCGCCCAGCCTGGCACTCTCGCCAGGACACCACACTGGCTCTCAAATAACAAATCCATCCAACCTGCATGCTCTAAGCCCAGAGGGCGTTTGCTTTTTTTAAGCAAGTCCTTGTATCAAAAATAATTTGCAGTGGGTTTTTAAAAACCCCAAACCACAACACACCAACATGTTGCCCAATTCATTGGAGATGCTTTTTGAGTTGATTAAGGTTTTTTTATATAAAAAATCAATTAATCTAGTCAGTTAAACTCGATTACAGGCTACAGCACCGGTGAATGCGGACAAGTCTTCAGCGAGGGATAAAGGATCACAGGGAGACCGAGGGGGAAATGAGGACAGGCTGGGAGACCGCGAGAAGAGCCCGCTGGATCAGGCCAAAGGGGGCCCATCTAGTCCAGCGTCCTCCTCTCGTGGAGACCACCCACAAGCAGGATCCGAGCACAAGAGCAACTCTCCCCTCTTGCGTCTTCCAGCAACTGGCAATCAGAAGCGTGGCCATCTGCCTTGGTGGCTAAGATCCTGGCTGCTGGATCCGGCCAAAGGGGGCCCATCTAGGCCAACATCCTGTTCTCACAGTGGCCAAGCGTTGCCTGTGGGAAACCAGAAAGCAGGGTCTCTCCCTCCCTCCCTCTCTCTCTCTGGCCTGGTGTTATGTAAAGTGGGAATGAGGAGGAGGAGCAGACAAAGATTCCCCTGTCATGCAAATGTCCTTGGTGATTAAACAGCACAGGAACTTTCCTTCTGCTTTGCCTCTCAAGCTCCTCAAGGCCCAGGGAGGGCGAAGGGGGTGGGGTGTTGTCCTCTGAGTTGCAAGCAGAGAGCAAAAATAAAAAAAGAAAGTGGGCAGTGCGGTGCAGTGGTTAGTGTCAGGTTAGGACCAGGGCTCAAAACTTCCCACTCAGTTTGCTAAGTCAAAAAATGGCCAGCTATAGCAAGCGAGACCAGCCAGGGATGCCGTTTCAAGGGCTAGAACGGCAAGGTTTCCCAGCGAGGAACAGGCGAGTGAGAGGCGAAGCTGATAAAATTCTATGTGGCCTGGAGGAAGCAGGTGGAGGAAAGTTTTCTTCCCCTCTCATAACGCTCAAACTAGTGGGCATCCAATGAAGATGATTCCGGAGAGATACAAGAAAGTCCTTCTTCACGCTGGACGTTGGCTCTGTGGGCTAGAGCCGGTGCTGATAACACCAGGGGGGTTGCAGGTTCGTGTGGGACGGCTGCATATTCCTGCGTTGCAGGGGTTGGACTAGAGGATCCTTAGGGTCCCTTCCAGCTCTACGGTTCTGTGAACTCTCTTCCACCAACCTGGAGGGCTTTGAGAGGAGGAGGAGAGGGTTGCCGGTGGCTCCAAGCCAGGATGGCTCTGCTCTGGCTCCACAGTCAGAGGCGCCATGCTTCTGGATAGCAGTTGCTGGAAATGGCCGGAGGGGAGAGTTGCTCTCGCACTCGGGTCCTCCTTACAGGCTTCCCTTTGAGGCATCTGCTTGGCCACTGTGAGAACAGGAGGCTGGACTGGATGGGACCACTTTGGCCTAATCCAGCAGGCTGTTCTTATGTTCATTCTGTGTTTTATATATATATATAATATTTATTAAGTTTCCATTTTATACTATTAAAAGACATTCATATTTTCCATATTATTTGTTCAAATAAACAGTTGACCTTCCACCCATCCATCTCATGGTCACCTTAATTCTTTTTTTATACGATAGCATTTGCACTTCTTCCTCCTTACATTGATGTTCCTTCATTTATCAAAACTTTTTAACCAATATGTAAAAAGGTATATATCATCATTTAACCAATATGTAAAAAGGTATATATCATCAAGGTATATATCATCATTAGAAGACATCTGAAGGCAGCCCTGTTTCGGGAAGCTTTTAATGTTTGATGTATTATAGTATTTTAATATTCTTTTGGAAGCCGCCCAGAGTGGCCGGGGAAGCCCAGCCAGATGGGCGGGGTATAAATAACAAATTATTATTATTATTATTATTATTATTATTATTGTTACTAGTCTCCTTCATTAAGTCCTGCCAGTGTTGTGAATTGCTTGCAATTGTCCTTCAAGTACAGTCATACCTTGGGTTGAAGTAGCCTTGGGTTGAGCATTTTCGGGTTGTGCTCTGCGGCGACCCAGAAGTAACGGAATGCGTTACTTCCGGGTTTCACCACTCGCGCATGCAGACACTCAAAATGACCTCATGCGCATATGCGGAAGCAGTGAATCGTGACCCACACATGTGCAGACGCGGGTTGCGTTCACTTCAGGATGCGAACGGGGCTCCGGAACGGATCCCGTTTGCATCCAGAGGTACCACTGTATTCTATAAATTTACTCCAGACTTTTTGGAATGTTTGATCACGCTGGTTTTGGAGTTCTCATGTTCATTCTGGGATGCATATTCCAGAGTTAGAACCGCTAACTTCTCCAACCACCGCCACCCACAGCCCGGTTGTCCTTGGAGGAATAATAATAATAATAATAACAATTTATTTATACCCTGCCCTCCCCGGCCAGGGCTGGGCTCAGGGCGGCTGACACCAAAGGAACTCCCCCCTTCTTGCTCTGAGCTTTGCTGGGTTTTTGGAGTTCTGCAGCTGGGCGATCTCCACCCCACAGGGCGGAGGCTGGAGGGGGCACCTACCCAAAGACCTCTCCTTCCCCCCTTCCCACTGCTCCGCCTCCTTAATCTCATCCTAGTTTCCCATCCTAGTTTCCCACTCGCAGGTTGGGAGGAGTCTTCCAAAACCATACGGGGGAATTCAATAGGATTTCACACAAACTTTATGCAGTCCTTTGATCTTGTGTGTGAGTTTGTGCAAGTGTGTCTCCCCCAACTCTACTTGGACAGACCCTTCAGTGACATTGGGGGAAGGGGGGAGGCAGGCCTGCC